AAAAGCAGACGACAGAACATTGTTAGAGAGCAGGAAAGGATGTGAAACCAGACAATTTTAGAGAAGAAAATTGTTCGTTCGCTACCCGGATTCGAACCCGGAATCTTTTAATGAGAGGCCAACACCTTTACTTCTACGCTTTGATAGCCCTCCTATTCTACAGTTTGATGACCTAGTGAGGCCGACCACTACATTACGCTGGCGTGAAGTCTCCAGGGAGAAATACAGAGACATATCCGTCGTGTCCTGTTTCCTACACACCGGCCTACAGGACCAGCACCACAGTGTAGAAAAAGAATCTTTGGCAACTGTCACAAGAACGTAGTTAAAATTTGCTGGATTAAATTTTTCTTGCCGCGTCAACCGCACAGCACGAAATAAAAACAGCTTGTTACAAATTGTGTGATGTTTGTGGTGTAGTTTGTTTGGGTTCATAAGAGTTTGCTTATTAAACTGACACAAACACAGATTTCTAGAACTGTAGTTTTATTCACTAAGAAGGCACACACACACAAAAGGTTCTGCTTTCTCCATAGTCGTGTATGACTGACCCACAACTAAAGCCCTGGCTTCTACCCCAGGAACTTTACCAACTCGGTATAGTACCTTCAAGTAGGGGTCATAAAGTGACATGTGCCTGGGGGAATGGGAACCAGAGACGCAACGAACGGACAAACAACCAACAACAGACAGGCAACACAACAGTATTTCAATCTTGGAAAAAGCTGGGACTGAAAGATAGCAACACGACCATCAATAAAGGAGACGATATGGACATGTGGGACACAATAATATTTTAAGAATTCTAGAGACAAAATTTCCCAATCAGACAACAACAAATGGAGAAATAAACACAAAGAGGTAGCTCAGCTGGTAGTTTTAGGACTACGGTCAGGGAAGAGTCAATCCCTCAGGGGGTGTATAGGTTAACGTTAGAGAAGTCAATCATCCAGGGATGTATAGGTTAACGTTAGAGATGTCAATTATCCAGGGACTGTATAGGTTAAAGCTAGAGAAAGTGGCCAAGGACAGATAAGCGCGGCGAGGACTGTACTCTGACTTGTGTGACGTCTGAACGCAGCTCTCTCTCTCTCTCTCTCTCTCTCTCTCT